CTCTAAAATACATGGGAGTGAATTTTTGACCAATTAAACAATTCCGTAGTAAATAGCAAAATCGGCTATTTACACTTTCTCAATAATTGCTGTTCCATCTGATGGTTGAATGTTTCATAATTTTGATTGGTTTCCTTCAAAGTAAAGCATATCACCAAATCACTACCTACTAAGACGAGCCGACGTGCATTCATCCCAGCATTTAATAAATTTCAATTCTTAGCATTGGGATTTGTTTCTTTCAAAAGTTATATAAAAAATAATAATAAATGTACACTATATTCCATAGCATTGCTAATGAATATTTCTATTATTGTACTGCTGGATCTGAATACGAACTTCATTAACTTTGAAGAAAAAAAAAAGTATAAAATTCGAATTAGTAAAATAAAGATCATGCAACCAAAATTTCGAACATAAATGTTATTTTATTTTATTTAATGAATAGGTCAATGAATTCTGGGTATGATAAATGTATAAATATAATACATAAATAGATAATAAATAAAGGAATAATATAAACGACATCAAAGTAATAACGAGAAATACTAAGGGACCACAAAACACTGTCGCTTAAGCTTGATCTCATCTCTACCCTCTAAAAATATTTTTACCTTAATCATATGATAAACCTTAGTTTCACTGCGCTTTGAAAAATCGTAGAGCATTGAATTTGATGAAGGTATCAAGAATAAGGATTCTTTGACTTTGGAACCAACCTCAGTACAGGTCCCTACTGTTCTTTGGTTTAACGTGATGAACGTACTACCGTCGATTATATTTCTTACAATATAACGTTTCTGAAAGGGTGCATTGGATAACGAATAGTATTCTTTTATACCGACTATTAATCGGTTCACTTGTGCTCTTGGAGCGATCACTATGTGGCCATAGTTTGTATTTGGTGAAAAGTGATTATCCAAGAAAACTCTGTACAAATCCGTTGACCAAGATGGATTTATCACTTTTTTTGGCGAATCATGTAGGTACATTGGTACCCAAACGGAGGTATCCTCTTTTCCGTCTAGCATGGCGATTAATTCAAACTCCATCATTCTTTGGTTAGGTGCAATTTTTATGCTTTTGAGGATTTCCGGAGGAATGACGATGGTGAAGGGTAAGTTTTTCTTCACTTTAGAATTTGTAAAAAGGTTCCAAAATGAGAGAACTCTACTTTTCATAAACTTGTTATGTCGGACTTTAATACCAATTGTTTTTACATTTTTCTGTGTATTTGTGGGAAGTTGAACGGACAGGGTACCCTTTATGTTGCAGTTTTTGGCACCAAGCTCACCGGACTGAAAGCCATTATTATGGTAAGAAAAACTGCAATTATTAACAGATTCTTTTGGGCCAGTAGTGGTAGTTGTAGTTGTAGTCGGTGGGTGGACGGGACGAGGAGGCGTCCTGGTAGTAGTGGCAGTTGTAGTCAGTGGACGAGGAGGTGTCCTGGTAGTAGTGGCAGTTGTAGTCGGTGGATAAGGTGTATCAGGAGCAGGTCTGACAACTGTTACAATTGTTGTATTCCTAGGTAAGTTAGCTTTTAGCTCTGCCAAACATTTCAGGCATTCTCTTATATCAATTCGTTCATTACATCTTTCGCATACATAATAATATTTATATATTACTCTTGTCATTTTTAGAACAAGAGAAACAATTTTTTAAAAGACATGTAAACTTAGCGATCTTTAAAAGATAATAGATCATCAAATAGTACAGTGAGAGTACAGAGAGAGTACAGAGAGTACAGATAGAGTACAAAGAATACAGAGAGAGTACAGAGAGTACAGAGAGAGTACATAGAGTACAGTGCACCTGTTTCAACCAATTTCAGACGATCGATTTAGGGGTGTGTTGGAATTTTTAAAGCCGATCGAGGTTCGGTGATTCATATTAATTTCGCCTG